CTTATCCTGCAGCACGAGAACAGACTCAGGATCATACCTTAAACCTCGCAGCATGGTACCCCGTCACCCCAGCAGCTGGGTCTGTTCCTGCCTCTCAGTTGCTCAGACTCTTTGAACTTCTCAGTCACCATTTTCTCCACTTCCTTAACCTTTCTCAACCCATCCATAGCCTGGGTGAAACCTGGAGGATCTGGTGGGCTGCTTGTTGCTGTTTATGTTGGATTGCAGAGGGGGAATGTAGCCCCTCTTTATGCCAGGATATCCAGGGCTTGGCATGTGCACTGAACTGCAAACCGGACTCAGCAGGGAAGCTATGAAGCTCCTGCAGCCCCCTGGGTGGGGAGCCCTGGGCAAGGAACGAGTTTTGGGGCAGCGTCACCTGGTACCTGGGTCAGGTACTGGGGAGGCATGAGCTCAGATATTTTGCTTCACTGCAGACCCAACGGCAGTTGTGTGAGATGCTGCCAAGTGCTGGTGTCTATTACTTCCCATGGGAGATCAACAGCTCAGTCCCAGAGGGGCAGGCACTGAGGACGTTTGGCAGGTGAGAAGGGTGCCCCGCGCTCCTTGCAGGCCTTTCCTTCACTGGCTGACCTCCCTCACATTGTTTGTAATTGTATCTCTGCACCACTGAGCTTCCCAAATCCATTGCTCCCAGGTTATGTTCTTACGACCTGGCCCGATCTGAAGCCATCCTCACCGCTCAGCACAGCTCAGCTCAGTACCAAGTCTGTGTCGACACCAAGTTTGTGGAGCCATTCCAAGTCCAGCTGGGATCTCGCTACATGGTCCTAGGAGAGGCTGAACACAGGGAAGGTAAATGCTCCAGGAACCCGTGTCCTCTGCTGCTGTTCATGGTTCATCAGCTCCTCTGTGGCTCTCTGGGTGCCTGGTGAGACCCACTGTCACTGAGGTTAGTGTTCTCCAAGGCACCCTCATCTCATGCAGCTGCCTCTGGTCACACGAGCGTGTGATTCAGGGCAGGAGCCGCCTGTCTCTCCCTGTCGACCACGAGAAGAGCAGCCTTTATCTTGGTGAAAATCTGGCACAGATTTCATTAGAAAAAAGAAGTGCCTCAGCAGCATTGCTGAGCTTGTGAAACCTGTGCTAAAGCCTTCTGGCATTGTTGCCAGCCACCACCATTGTCTTCGCTCCAAACGTGGCTGATTGCAGCACTACCTCGTCGCGAGCTGGCTGGGCTGGTCTTTGCCATCTTTGAAAGGCTCTAATTATATTCCTGCCCTCAGACACGGGGCGTGAGGAATACAGGCAGGCTCTGTCACGCAGGGCACCCTGTTGTCCTTTCTTGGGGTGCCCTGAGCATTGCTCCAGCTGCACGGTGCTCTGCGTGGGGGGCAGAGCTCTGGGCTGGGCCGTGGGGTTGTGAAGCAAATCCCAAGTGTTGTCTCGGCCACACCTGATAACAAGCATTCGTGTTTGTGCCATTGAGATCCTCGGTGGCATATGGAAAGCCACGCTGCACGTGGCATCTAGTGAGTGACCTGATAAGCCACTGCAGCAAAATTCCTTTAGAAAGACATGTTAGTCTTCATAGCTTAGGAGTGAGTTGGCCTCATTTTGCAGTGGTGGAAGGGGAGCAGGCGAAGATAGTAGCTGTGTCACCAAGGTTTGGCCCCTTTTGTACGGCTCCATGTTACCATTTGAGTGCCATCAATGCACTGTTGGCTGTAGTCAGCATTGAGCCTCTTCTAAGCCCACCTTTGTTCTGTCCTCTTCTTGTCTGCACAGGGGCACTGAGAAATGAGCTTAGACCCATCCGTGATGCTTATTAGACAGGGAAAACCAAACTTCATCCAGCCATGAAGTAGACAGATGCTGCATGGCAGCACTGGCACTGACATGTTGTCGGCTCAGTGTTCCCCAGTGCAAGGAGAGCGCAGTGTCAGTCACCAGCATTTTGTAGCCAACAGAGCAGAGGCAGAGCGCATCACTGAATTAACCTGCTCCCGGGCCTGCTGCTCACATCAGTGGAGGCACACGGCCGGTCCGGTCTTCTGCAAGTTCTCAGGCTATGGATATTTGGCCACTGGAGCCATATGCTGCCTGAGGGAACCTCTGTGTTTGCCTCCGAGCTGCTCCGTCTGTTTTCCTTTCTACAGAAATTTCCTTTTTCTATTCCCAGGTGAGGGTCCCGTGGTAAAGGCACGAATATTGACCTGCGTGGAAGGAATGAACGTGCCCTTGCTGGAACAAGCCATACAGGAGCAGAGAAAATACTTCAAAGAGAGGCAGGAGCAGATGAGAAACTGCACGTCCTGACAGCAGTTCTGAGACCAGCCATGCACTGCTCCTTGCACTGCCATTTGCAACAAGTATGTTAAAAGTAAATTTAGGAGGTGGATTTGCAACATACTGCTTTTTGCTGCGGCAAATAGCAAAGTAAAGTCATAAGCAAGGAGACACTCAAAGACTGAGTCAGGATGTAACTGTGGGCTGTCCGTTCATGCCAGGTGTCATCACTGAAAAGAGCTCTGGGAAGCAGGTGTTTTTGTTTGTTTAAAGGGGTGGTTAAGCAAAGAGAGTGCCTGAGTTACATGAGTCCTTTTGTAAGGCAAGACTTGGAGACCTCAGAAAAAGAAGTCTCCCATCTGGAGTTCAGCAGCCTGCACCCACCTACACTGCCAAAGCACAGTGGATTGCTGCCTCTTGGCAGATGGGAGGTAAAGGGCATTAGCACAAAGTTCATTAAGCCCTGTGTGGCTGCTGGTCCATGAGTTCATGTCTTTGGTTACTGTGACTCAGCTGCCACATAGGAGCTCCTGGCAAAACATTCACATATTTGGCCTGACCTACAAAAGAACAAGAAGAACAAAGAGTCACTATTTTCAATAGCACCTGCCTCTTTGGGTTTTCAGGAGCTGGTGTCCAAGGGGGGGATTGACTTTAGCTCTACAATAAATATTTGCAGTGCCTTGAGAACCACCACCTGACTTTCTTCCTTGACACAACTAAGTTTAGGAGACCTTAAACCACTTTTTTTTTTTTTAAGCATCTAAAGGTTTTGATTGATATTTTCCTAAATAAAGATGAAAAGAGAAAGCAGCCTGTCTTTTATTGACTAAAAACCTCTTTCTTGCTTAGGCAAATCCATTAGGCCCTGCAGAAACCCCGTGGATGATGTAAGAAATTTTAGCGAAATGCAGTTCTCCTCCTCCTCAGGACTGAGTGTGTAAGGAAGGGCTTGGCTTTGAAAAAGTTGCAAGAGGAGGAGATGAAGTTACATCAGAGTCATCTGGTTTAAGAACATGGTGCCAGGCACACCTAGGAGAATCACACCATCAACAAAAAGAAACAAAATCACTAACGTGAGATGACAATAAAATGTTAGTGCAAGAGAGAGAAGATTCTCCTGTGCCATAGGAATCCCTCGCCCTGGAGCGAGCTGGGACTGTGGTTTGCAGGAGAATTCAGCCACTTGCTGCCTTTTCTGCTTTTTGCTCAGTTTCTCTGGTGAAATGTTCAGAAAATAAGGACTGAAGCCATACAATGCACAGCAGCAGATCAAAATGCAGCAGGTATTGGCAAAGTCCCCTGTTGCCAGCAGGCTTGATTCAAGGGCCTGAGATGGCTCAGTAATTACAGTGCTTGGTGTAATCTTTAATCATAGTTTAGCCATATTTTTTTCTTCATGCGGTTACAGAGATCCAAAAGCTCTGCCTCAGCACGCTCTGTTCAGCACAAGTCCAAAAACGTGATCTCAAGAGGCAAGATATTAACCTGGTTTTGTAAGAGACAATGATGAGTCTGTCATGATGTGTTTATGTTTACACCTCATCTCCTGTCTATTCTCCTACCTTTCTCCTCGTGCTTAAATTTTATGCAAATGGCCAGGTTTGCTGGAGAGCTGGGAATATCCAGGATGCCAGGGCTGGGATTATGCAAAATACCAGGTTCTTACAAGTGTTATGAAAAAAAGTCCCACAAACCCAACCAGCCAGGAAGAGGAGAGCAAATTTGGTAATGACTGGATGGAGACATGACTGCAAACTCAACCATCACAAGCCACTGGAGAACCCACACAGGAGTTTGCCGTGACCGTGTGAATCCCTCTTCAGCCACAGAGCAACCATGCTTTGGTTCTTTCAAATCTGCAAAATGAAGATCAATTTAAAAAAAAAAAAAGATTTTGAACTGGTGGCTCGGGAATGGGCTAAATCAGTCCTTTTTAGGTCATCTAAAAGTTGGGGTCTGTGCTGTGAACCCACACAGCCAGCGGGTTGCTGTGTCCTGCTGTGCCCACCCAGAAGCCCTCCAGAAGACAGTCCCTGTGGCTCTGCCTTCCCTGGTGCCACGATGCGTAATATTTTTTTAATCTTGCCTTCTGTCAGCTGTCAAGTCAATGATTAATCCCACCCCAAGGACACCTTCCAAAATGCTGACCGAGCGGCACAGCCCACGGTGGGAAGCTTGAAGGGACAATTGTGCAAGACAAAAAAAAACCCCACGACACCGAAACAAATAAAAAACCCCAAACGAACAAACAAAAATCCCATTTCTGCTGCGTGTTTGACCTGAGCATGCTGCAGGGAGCCCTAATTATGCGCCGCATCCCCTTCCCCATGCAAACGGAGCTGTGGAGCTTCCATCGGGCCCGCGCCGGCCCGGCTGCCTTTCCCGCAGGCCCGAAGCACCAATTTACATCCGTTCTGCTCCATTTTTCGCTTCAGCCAACACTCCCCACCACCTCGGTCTCAAGCAGCCGCTCCTGGACAGTTTGTGCCCATTTGGGTCTGCCCAGAAGACCCTCAGACACCCCCCAGGCAGACCCCCCTGTCGCTGCCGCCGCTCAAGGCAGGCCCCTGTGCTGAGGGAGCAGCAAAGGGGGACCCAGACCCCGAAAGCAGCTCGAGGGACACACAGGGAGGGCAAACACCTTCCGCACGTTTGAGGGGGTTTTATCACCTTTTTTCTTTTTTTTTTTTTACCTCAGAAAGTCGTGCCAGCCGCCCCCGCTGCCTTCGCAAGGCTGAGGCGGTGCCATGGACGCCTTCCAGGAGGTGTTCCAGAAGGTGGATAAGATTGGGGAGGGCACCTACGGCGTGGTGTACAAGGCTCGCAACAGGCGCACGGGGCAAGTGGTGGCCCTCAAGAAGATCCGCTTGGACTCGTGAGTAGGGCGCAGCTCTGGCCCCAGGGGCTGCCATGGCGTGGCCCAGCCCGATGCCCACCCAGCTCGCCATGGCGCTAGGCCGGCTGCCTCCTCAGTGCAGCGGCAACAGGGTGCTGAATAGAGAGGGGGGTGAGGAAGACAAATGGCTCTTCTGGCACCGGCAGTGCCATCTGGGGGGAGATGGCCACGAGCTGAGCCCAGCAGTGCCCCAGCACCACCATGGGAGTGAGCAGGGGGCCCTGAGCCCAGCCTGGTGTCCAAAACAGCACGAGAGGCTCAAGAAAGCCTGACATGAGGGAAAACAGTGTCTCTGTCGGCTCAGGCAAGGAGCTGGAGCCTGACCCGGCCCCACCTGGCCCTGGCACCACGGCCCAGGACAGGAGGGAAGAGCCGCCATTTTGGGAGGTGGCCGCTCCCTCAGGGGTGCGGTGCTGGCAAGGCTCAGCCTTCCGGCTGGGCGGGGCTT